CCCCAAAACCCCAAAACCCCAAAACCCCAAAACCCCAAAACCCCAATATATTTAGTACCAGTAGAAATATAAATATTAACGTAATAAAAAAGGATTATTTTGAGAAATGGGAGCGGAGAATTGTATTTGAAGTAAGTAATTCTTTACTCAGAGACTCACCGGAGTTATTCTTTTTAAGATTCTTTGCTGAGAATTGATACGCATGTAAAATGTCTGTATAATTCCATTTAAACAAGTTAATTTAAGGGATTTCTTACTTAATAAAACTCTTGTGCTATCCAATAAAATAGCTTCCTGACTTCATCTTTAGCCAAATCATTAAACACAAGATTCAAGAAGAAAAAGCATTCGTCAAAGGTAAGCTCACTTAGTTTTGGATATCTAATTTTTAGAACAAAGAGAAAATTAAAATGAGTTACAGGGAAACTTTTGACACGTCAGAAGAGAAAAAGAATAGTATTAATTGTCTCTCTAAACCCTATAGGGTCAACAAGGCTCAGTGATTATTTGGATCAGAGAATGACAATCACATCTGATCATCCTGATGATATTCACAAGAAATACTTAAATGGTGAAGAAAGATACAGTCTTTTTGAAATTTATCAAAATGACACCGACTCATGGAGTGATGCCACCCATTTTGTGAACAAGGAAGCCCAAAAATTATTTTCAATCAACATTAATGAAGAGTCTATCAAGAAGTTCTATAGTATTGGTCTTACTATTGGAAGTGGAAATTATGCTAATGTCAAGAGAGGATACAGTCTTGGTAAGTAAACTTCCCCCTCGGTATTTATAAAACACTATTTTTAACTCTAACCACAATTTGAGAGGAATCTGATCGTTTTCTATAGCAAACCCTTCAATAAAAGTAGCAATCAAAATCTACGACCTAGACTGAACACTTGAGAGGCAGCTAGCTATCTTCAGAGAGATATCTATCATGAGTACCCTCGATCACCCAGGGCTGATAAAGATGTATGAGGTGTATAAAGACAGCACCAAACTCTACATCGTCAGCGAACTTGCCCAAGGAATGCAGCTGTATGATTATATTTTTGAAAATAAGAAAATCTTAGAAAAAGACACTAAAATGATCATCAAGCAACTACTCAGCATAACTGGGTACATCCACTCTAAAAATATCGTGCATAGAGACCTCAAGCCGGACAATATTATCATTGACCCATGAACACTGAAAATTAAGGTGTTAGACTTTGGGTCTTCCAGCTATTTCTCAGACTCTGGAGATCTAACAGAGCAGGTTGGCACACCCTTCTACGTCTCGCCTGAGTTACTCAAAGGAAAGTACAACTACCAGGCAGATATCTGGAGCATTGGGATCATAGCCTATCTCATGTTAACTGGATGTCCTCCATTTCAGGATGAGGATACCCAAGAAATTTATATGAAAATTTTGAACGAACCCTTACCATTTTGAAGGGGACAATGGATTTATCTCAGTCAAGATTCTATGAATTTCGTTGCTAAGTTACTAATCAAAAATCCAGCCAAAAGAATTGCTATAAGTGAAGCTTTAAACCATCCATGGTTAATGGATTTTGAAGAGAATAGCCTTTCCTTTACCGAAACCATGTGTAAGAAGTTACTCAACCGCAACAAGCAAAGTGTTTTGGCAAGAGAAATACTTCATATTTATTCAGACCATATCGACTCTCAGACCCTATCTGAGTGGAATAAAGTGTTCAATCATATTTATTCACCTAAATTTGGACTTGCAGACATGGAAAAGTTAAAGAAGATTCTGAATAAGTCTGAAGAATTTAAGAAGTTGTCCAGAAATTGTGATTATATGACGCTTGCAATCACATTTAACAATTTTGATGAAAGGTATATCACCTATACCGAGTTCCTAGCTGGAGTTATAGATTTACACACTGATATCCCTCATTTCAACCTCATGCAGATTCTTTCCCATATGGGGATCAACAATGAAGATGAAGTGACTAATGAAGCACTCCAAAAATATTTACAAAGAAGAGGATATCAAAATTCTAAAACACTCTCGACCAACTTCCAAATCGAAATACTCTCCGAACTCAAGACCCACAAGGAAGACAATTCAATCCCCCTCCACATGCTGAGCTCCGATACACTCTGAGAAGATAGTGGTAAGTCTCCCCCCTCAAATTCCAGCCCCTTTCTTCCCTATCCTATAACTCAACCCTAATACATAATCCTAGGTACATGAGTCGGTGAAATGAACAGCCCAGGGCCCCTTCTAAACTTAATTCATAACTAAATTTCCTTCTAAGCCTTAATTCCTTTTACTGCGTCGGTCTGCGGCCTAAGAATATCCTCCAAATTCTGGTGGCTCTCGGCCCTCCAGAATGGCCACATAAAATTTGAACGAAGAGGTAGAGGAATTGGTGGAATTCGAAGTCGGTAGAAAATTTAGGAATGACAAAACCCTTCTTGTTATAGCAAATCGGAGAAGCCTAACTTTAATATTGGTTGTTTTCTGATATTTTTCTAATATTTTTTCTGAATATAGGGGTTTTGGGGTTTTGGGGTTTTGGGG